GAGAGTATGATTGATTTGATTGATTTGTGACTAATGAAGGTAGTTTTCTGTTTTCATATATTTTCTTACAGATGTTCTTTTTCATTATAAGTTTATTATCAAGCACCCATTCAGTGAAGCAGGCAATCTCGTCAGGTTTATTGAAGGTTGTCATGTGGAAACACTACTTGTAGTAATTCCTGACTTATCTAATACCTGTTATTGATAAGGAACTCTGCATGCCTTTAAGCTAAGCCTTGTGTAAGCATGTTTTGACATACATAATTGTATATTGTAGTACATTCCTGGAGTAATACTTGAGGCAGTAGAAGGTATAGGGCTTCCCTGGCTACTATACATGTATACCAGGTAAACAGCCCCGGTGGAATGTAGGGGGTCGGGGATTAGGAGGCCTAGGGACTGACAGCAGGCTGGGGACATTTACAGGTGTATACTTGCCCTGCTGGGACACAGATATAATTATCATAAACTATTGACTTGAAACATGGATAGTTGCGTACTGAATGGTAGGGCTGTCAAAAAAGATTGATGATTGGAATTCGGAACAGTTGGCACATTCGGTACATTTGGCACATTAGGCACCATAACCTCATGGGTTCCGCCGTAGTGGTAAACACCTCAACCTGCATCACTTAGGGCTTTACTCACGGGCGGTTGGGGCGGTCGGGTAGCCTAGTGGTTAAAGCGTTCGCTCGTCACGCCGAAGACCCGGGTTCGAATCCCGACATGGGTACAATGTGTGAAGCCAATTTCTGGTGTCCCCCGCCTTGATATTGCTGGAATATTGCTAAAAGCGCCGTAAAATCATACTCACTCACTCACTCACTCAGGGGCGGTGGGGTAGCCTTGTGGTTAAAGCATTAGCTTGTCATGCTGAAGACCTGGGTTCGATTCCCCACATCGGTACAATGTGTGAACCCATTTCTGGTGCCCCCCGTGATACTGCTGGAATATTGCTAAAAGCGGCAGAAAACCATACTCATTCACTAAGGCTTAATTCCCAAATTAAGCTGAACTGCAGTGATATAACTGAAATACTGTGGCTTCAAGTGTCTGTAAACCAACGCCCACACATGCTAGGGACATGGATTATGCTACGTTCACTGACTAAAAGCCATGTAGATTACCAGCATACAACACACCAAACCTTGACCACAGGCATGTGAGGTGAGTGAGGGGAAAAGGGGTTTTGAAATGATCACATACTTAAATATAGTGCACTGCATGCACATTCGTGTGTGTGTGTCTGCTTGTACTAGACCGGACTAATGCCATTGTTTCAGTGCAAGCCCACTGAGATACCATGTCGCATTTTAACTTGGATAGTGTTCTGATTATGAGCAGACCAGTCCTTGTGTTTTCCCTTAATGCTGAACACCAGGCAGGTTTACAAGGACCATCTTTGAATGACTTTTGGTATGCCGCACCGGGGTTTGAACCACTGACCTTTTGTTCTCTGTGAAGACTTTTCCATGAAGACTGCCTTCATTTTGTGCTATTGTTTTATGGTTTGTACCGAAAGTTTTGTATCCCAATATTACAACTGGCAATATCCCCACTGGATGTGCTCTCTCGGTATGTGTGTCTGGTTGTGTCTAGACACTATTAAACCTCTCACCTCAATTAAAGGTTTCCTTTCTCAGCGTCTTTATGGCTTCTAATATCCATAAACATTGATTGACAATTTTAGAGTTTATTCAAACTATATGTCTGAGGTGAGTGCACCCCAGGCCTTGCCAGGTACAGGGCCTATCAAACAGCCATCTACACCAGCCTGACACTGCCAGGAACAATTACCTGTGAGATAGTAGATACCTGGGCTGTATACAGGGCTATTGTTGCTGTGGAAGTCACAGAAAATGCACCTATTGTCCAGCCAGGACTCCAGGAACACCACGGATCCCCACTCAGCCCAGTAGTCGGTTGTTGTATCTGGAACTACAGAATAATGCCAACACTGCTGTGAAGAAGTTTATATGGTTCTTAGTGATAACATTGGGTTGGAACTTGTTCCGTGGCAACTGGGATAAGTCTGCACACCTGAACCAGTTTGTCTATGATTAGTAAAAGGTGATTCTTTCTTCAAACAGAATTTACTCGGGGATGTGTTTGTGTGTTACACTTTCCAAGCTTAGTCATTCTACCGTATATAACTTGTGTTAATTCCAAAAGATTTCATTGTCCATGGTCAGATTGGATGAGATAATCAACGTACAGCATAATAACATAGGAACCCTAGGAAGAGATGTTTTGGATGTCAACTTTTTTATTATGAGGAACACAATGTTTCGTAGAGCTGGGACGATACACCAACTGTGCGATCTGATACGTATCACGATACTTTGCTCATGATCTGATACGTATCACGATACTTTGCTCATGATCCGATACGTATTGTGATACTTGCATGTGCACTTATCTGTGGTGCGTAAGCCATCTTTTTCATAGAAAGGATTGCCAAATACCTGGCACACTGATGATTTACAGTGGGCAGTGTCAGGTATGGCGCAATGGATGAAAATATTTACGCGTTCACTACTCATTTTCATTAGTTTTGTGTTTTCTTTTTCGTTGTTTAACGCCGCACTCAGCAATATTCCAGCTATATGATGGCGGTCTGTAAATAATCGAATCTGGACAAGACAATCCAGTTATTGACATCATGAGCATTGATCCACGCATTTGGGATATGATGACATGCCATTTTCACTCGTAATTCAAGAAAACATTTAAGGTAAGAATCGATACTTTTTACTTCGTGTGCGACTGTGATCGATACTTGTATAGAGAAGTAAAAAATCGCGATATCGGTGTATCATCCCACCACTAATGTTTCAGATTATATACTTACTCCTTCATCATTCACCTGATGAAGGAGTAATTTAAGTATATACTCCGAAACGTAGTAATCCTCTTTATAAAGAAGTTGACATCCATAAAATTTCTTCCTTATGTGTATCACTGAATTTCCTTTCAAAGACTTAACATAGGACCCTGTTCTACTGGATCTATTACATATCTGATATGTGACATTGCCCTCCCAATGAGGGGACTTGAGTGTTAATATGACCAGGGTATGTGTGATCACCAGCCAATGTGACAGGTTTGTGATATATACGGTGTGTGTTCGAGTCTCTGTGGGGAGGGCAAGGAGGTCCTGCCTTCAGTTGTCTGACCAGCAGTATTTGGACAGGCCATGTGTGATTTATACTGTACTTGTTGAGAGCAGTTGTTCCAGCACTCTTGGAGTCATATTGGACAATAAAAGTCATTTTATGGCTAGCCCTACGCTGTATGTTGAATTTACCAACATTACTGACATTGGCACTGAATGATCGCCAGTTCGGTTGTGTCATTATATGTTGCATTGTGTTGCATTGTGTTGGATTGAGTTCAATACAGTTTGTTGCATCAGACTATATGTGGTAACGTCTTTCATGGTGTACGTTGAGATGCTAGATATTTCATAATATGGCTAACCAGGCCATGACGGATGTGTAGAAGTTGGTTATTCATAGAAACCCAAGCTTTATGGATTTCACTGTAACACCATGGTGATTCTGGGTTAGAATTGGTCCCCAATGACCTGTGCTTGTTGCAAGAGGTGACTGATTGGATTGTGTGGTCAAGCTCGGCAACGTGGTTGATTGCGTGTCATTGCACTTAGACGTGGGATATAAATCACTGGTATGTCTGGTCTGGTCAAATAGCAGGAATATTACTGCTGAACAACAAACAGCAAGTTCAGCATTCTTTATACGCAAAGTTTCGAGGATAGAACTTACAAGTAACTTTTAAGACTGAATGATGTTACAGTAGTTGTTACCATATTGGTAGTGGTGATGAGAATCTTGATGTCATCTTGAAGTACCATTTTCTTGTGTAGAATGACGTGTTTGTGCGTGGCGTGGCGTGGCGTGGCGTGGCTCGGCGTGGCTCGGCGTGCATGCATGGCATGTTTTTTTATTAATGAATGTGTAAACTGATTGGCAGATGCCATTAAGTTAACTCACCATTGTTAACAGCGATCATGGTGAGATTATCATAGTTAGCACCTTTATATAAACATTAGTTGTGAGGGAATTAAGACCTATCATAAATGATGTACTAGGACTCATTGTGTGCAGTACATCCGCCATGTTTGTGTTTGTCCATGTATCAGCCAGACAGCTGTATTATAATACATCCAGGCCTCCTGGATATGTACAGTATATTCCAAGTGGGGTCAAGTGCTAAATATGATATCTCCCCAATAACTACTTAGATTATCATTCATTGTATGGTGTGTTATTGGTAATGTCTCACTTTAAGGCACTGAGTTAAAACATGTTTCTTGAAGGAACTTATGTGTGTTGAACAGTTTTCATTCGCAGATGTTGTCAGGCCTAAGATTTTCCAAATACTTTGATTAATTTGAATGTTACAGCTACAAGTACGTCTTATACAAAACACGTACGCTTATTAACTTTTATTGGAGGATATCATGCATGTTTTCCCTTCCTCCACAGACACAGCAATATTGTTATTAGTTCAATGGCACTTTCCTGTGAGCAGCCTGTTCTACTGATCACTGTGTATTGATGACGGTGTATTGATCATTGTCTATTGTATATCTATTGTACAGATATATCTGCTCATCACTGTGTATTGGTCACTGTGTATTGATCACTGTGTATTGATCACTGTGTATTGGTCACTGTGTATTGATCACTGTGTATTGATCATTGTGTATTGATCACTATGTATTGATCACCGTGTATTGGTCACTGTGTATTGATCACTGTGTATTGGTCACTGTGTATTGATCGCTGTGTATTTATCATTGTGTATTGATCACTGTGTATTGGTCACTGTATTGATCACTGTGTATTGGTCACTGTGTATTGATCACTGTGTATTGATCACTGTGTATTGATCATTGTCTATTGGGATATCTATGGTATAGATATATCTGCTCATCACTGTCTGTTAATCACTGTGTATTGGTCACTGTATTGCAGGTTGATGGTGAGACGGGGGCACTAGGAACCATGTCCTGCTATGACACCCTGGGATACCGGGGCAGCCCGGGCCGCTCCCCACTGCGAGGCGTCCACGACCTGACCACAATGTACCCGGACTCGGACAGCGGTATCAGGTCAGTAGGCACTTGTCACCTGGTATGTGAGATGTTGTCAGTAGGCACTTGTCACCTTCAGTGTGAGGTGTTGTCAGTAGGCACTTGTCACCTCATATGTGAGGTGATGTTAGTAGGCACTTGTCACCTCAGATGTGAGGTGTTGTCAGTGGGCATTGCCACCTCATGTGTGAGGTGTTATTAGTAGGCACTTGTCACCTCATTCGTAAAGTGTTGTCAGTTGGTACTTGTCACCTTCAGTGTGGGGTGTTGTCGCTAGGCACTTGACACCTTCAGTGTGAGGTGTCAGTAGGCACTTGTCACCTTCAGTTCAATATCATTTCCTTTTCTCAGCTCCACATTCCGCACAAAATCCAGAGTCTTCACAACCGATGATTTTTCAATGGCTCCTACCAGACTTACAAGATCAAGGTCAATGTCAAGGCTGAATTCTGGAAGTCGAGACACATCCCCAACAGGAAGTGTGGTGTCACTGACCATGCCAGTGGACTACTCTATACGCAATCTCCATGACAACCTAGAAGACAGTGAGACACGGAGATCGGTCCTGATGCACAAGCTGAAGGAAGCTCAGGAGACTCTATCAGTGAGTACCTGTGTGTGGATAACGTGTTGTGTTGTGAGTACCTGTGTGTGAATGACGTGTTGTGTTGTGAATACCTGTGTGTGGATGACGTGTTGTGTTGTGAGTACCTGTGTGTGGATGACGTGTTGTGTTGTGGTGAGTACCTGTGTGTGGATGGATTGTTGTGTTGTGGTGAGTACCTGTGTGTGGATGGATTGTTGTGTTGTGGTGAGTACCTGTGTGTGGATGGATTGATGTGTTGAGGTGAGTACCTGTGTGTGGATGGATTGTTGTGTTGTGGTGAGTACCTGTGTGTGGATAGATTGTTGTGTTGTGGTGAGTACCTGTGTGCGGATGGATTGTTGTGTTGTGGTGAGTACCTGTGTGTGGATGGATTGTTGTGTTGTGGTGAGTACCTGTGTGTGGATGGATTGTTGTGTTGTGGTGAGTACCTGTGTGTGGATGGATTGTTGTGTTGTGAGTACCTGTGTGTGGATGGATTGTTGTGTTGTGGTGAGTACCTGTGTGCGGATGGATTGTTGTGTTGTGAGTACCTGTGTGCGGATGGATTGTTGTGTTGTGGTGAGTACCTGTGTGTGGATGGATTGTTGTGTTGTGGTGAGTACCTGTGTGTGGATGGATTGTTGTGTTGTGGTGAGTACCTGTGTGTGGATGGATTGTTGTGTTGTGAGTACCTGTGTTTGGATGGATTGTTGTGTTGTGGTGAGTACCTGTCTGTGGATGGATTGTTGTGTTGTGGTGAGTACCTGTATGTGGATGGATTGTTGTGTTGTGGTGAGTACCTGTGTGTGGATGGATTGTTGTGTTGTGGTGAGTACCTGTGTGTGGATGGATTGTTGTGTTGTGAGTACCTGTGTGTGGATGGATTGTTGTGTTGTGGTGAGTACCTGTGTGTGGATGGATTGTTGTGTTGTGGTGAGTACCTGTGTGTGGATGGATTGTTGTGTTGTGAGTACCTGTGTTTGGATGGATTGTTGTGTTGTGGTGAGTACCTGTCTGTGGATGGATTGTTGTGTTGTGGTGAGTACCTGTATGTGGATGGATTGTTGTGTTGTGGTGAGTACCTGTGTGTGGATGGATTGTTGTGTTGTGGTGAGTACCTGTGTGTGGATGGATTGTTGTGTTGTGAGTACCTGTGTGTGGATGGATTGTTGTGTTGTGGTGAGTACCTGTGTGTGGATGGATTGTTGTGTTGTGGTGAGTACCTGTGTGTGGATGGATTGTTGTGTTGTGGTGACAACCTGTGTGTGGATGACATGTTGTGTTGTGAGTACCTGTGTGTGGATGGATGATTGTGTTGTGAGTACCTGTGTGTGGATGGATTGTTGTGTTGTTGTGAGTACCTGTGTGTGGATGGATTGTTGTGTTGTGGTGAGTACCTGTGTGTGGATGGATTGTTGTGTTGTGGTGAGTACCTGTATGTGGATGGATTGCTGTGTTGTGAGTACCTGTGTATGGATGGATTGTTGTGTTGTGGTGAGTACCTGTCTGTGGATGGATTGTTGTGTTGTGGTGACAACCTGTGTGTGGATGACATGTTGTGTTGTGAGTACCTGTGTGTGGATGGATGATTGTGTTGTGAGTACCTGTGTGTGGATGGATTGTTGTGTTGTTGTGAGTACCTGTGTGTGGATGGATTGTTGTGTTGTGGTGAGTACCTGTGTGTGGATGGATTGTTGTGTTGTGGTGAGTACCTGTGTGTGGATGGATTGTTGTGTTGTGGTGAGTACCTGTGTGTGGATGGATTGTTGTGTTGTGAGTACCTGTGTGTGGAAGGATTGTTGTGTTGTGGTGAGTACCTGTGTGTGGATGGATTGTTGTGTTGTGGTGAGTACCTGTATGTGGATGGATTGCTGTGTTGTGAGTACCTGTGTTTGGATGGATTGTTGTGTTGTGGTGAGTACCTGTCTGTGGATGGATTGTTGTGTTGTGGTGAGTACCTGTGTGTGGATGGATTGTTGTGTTGTGGTGAGTACCTGTGTGTGGATGGATTGTTGTGTTGTGGTGAGTACCTGTGTGCGGATGGATTGTTGTGTTGTGGTGAGTACCTGTGTGTGGATGGATGATTGTGTTGTGAGTACCTGTGTGTGGATGGATTGTTGTGTTGTTGTGAGTACCTGTGTGTGGATGGATTGTTGTGTTGTGGTGAGTACCTGTGTGTGGATGGATTGTTGTGTTGTGGTGAGTACCTGTGTGTGGATGGATTGTTGTGTTGTGGTGAGTACCTGTGTGTGGATGGATTGTTGTGTTGTGAGTACCTGTGTGTGGATGGATTGTTGTGTTGTGGTGAGTACCTGTGTGTGGATGGATTGTTGTGTTGTGGTGAGTACCTGTGTGTGGATGGATTGCTGTGTTGTGAGTACCTGTGTATGGATGGATTGTTGTGTTGTGGTGAGTACCTGTCTGTGGATGGATTGTTGTGTTGTGGTGACAACCTGTGTGTGGATGACGTGTTGTTTTGTGAGTACCTGTATGTGGATGGATGATTGTGTTGTGAGTACCTGTGTGTGGATGGATTGTTGTGTTGTTGTGAGTACCTGTGTGTGGATGGATTGTTGTGTTGTGGGGAGTACCTGTGTGTGGATGGATTGTTGTGTTGTGGTGAGTACCTGTGTGTGGATGGATTGTTGTGTTGTGGTGAGTACCTGTATGTGGATGGATTGTTGTGTTGTGGTGAGTACCTGTGTGTGGATTGATTGACATCATCAAGATGAGTCATTGTGTGTACATGTGAGTGGATGGATGGAAATAAACCTTTATGTATGGTATTCAATTGCAAAATATTCAGTAAGAGCATCATGTTTGAATGTGTCCTACAACAGAAACAGCTGTATGTCCTTGCATGTCCTTGCAGCTACAGAACAACAGGCTGTCCAAGATAGAAACCTCAGCCAAGGACAACGCTGTCATTGTAGAGGACCTGAAGTTTAAGGAGAGAGTAAGTACTTGTCCTTCCATGGTAGTACAGCATAGTTACATTGCACAGTAGTACTGTGGTTACATTTGATTGTTGTGGTACATTGTTACATTTCACTGTAGTATTTCATTGTTATATTGCAATCTAGCAGATTGTTTCATTACACTGCAGTACTGTATCCAGTGACATACAGTGTTGCATTGCCAATATTTCAGCCATAGCCCCCTTCAGCATTTGAAATTAAGTATTATTTTTAAGCTTGACATCATCTTAAAAAAAGTGTGACACCTCTGTCTTCTGTTCAAGGAGTACCGGAAGAAGATCATGAGCCTGGAGAAGGCCGAGGAAGAGAAGGAGGTGGTGCAGATGGAGAACATCCGACTACGCCAGGAGATGCAGGACAGGTGGGTGGAACCTTGTACCTTGTACAGTGAGTGAGTGGGAGGGGTTTGGAAAGACTGGGAGGGGCTGTAGGTGTGGCGGTTGGGTGGGCAGGTGTGTGGACACGCTTGTACTGGTCTACGTTGTTAGAGTTCAGACATGAGTGCAGATGAATTCATGCGAATGTTGAAATATCTGCCTATTGACCTTTCAGAATCACAGCCCTTGACTTCCAGCTGAAGTCTCTACAGAGCCAGCACCAGTCTTCCGAAGTTGAAAACAATACACGCACCAGTCTGCTGGACCAGACCACATCTTGCCTCTCTCTCCTGGAGGAGGAGAACACCAAGCTCCAGAAGGTAGAGCACCGCCCCGTGCCCCATGCCCATGCCCATGCCCAATGCCCTATGCCCTATGCCCCATGCCCATGCCCCTGCCCCATGTTCCCTGCCCCCTGCCCCCTGCCCATGTTCCCTGCCCCTTGCCCATGTTCCCTGCCCCCTTCCCCATGTACCCTGCCCCCTGCCTCATGTCCCCTGCCCCCTGCCTCATGTACCCTGCCCCGCCCCCTTCCCCATGTACCCTTCCCCATGTACCCTGCCCCTGCCCCCTTCCCCATGTACCTTGCCCCATGTCCCGTGCCCCCTGCTTTCTGCCCCATGTCCCCTGCCAGTGCTTAAGGTAACATCCTACTGCCCATCTACATCCACTAGTGTTATGAAAATACCAAAGGTGGAAAAATGTAAACAAGTAAAATAGTTTTCCTGGCTCTGCGTGTTTGTTATCTGTTCACCAAAAGTGAAAGCATCATCAGCTTGGTTGAACCTGCTCTTGTGTTCCCTCATGGCTAAATTTTAAAATGGACCTCAGGGGATAGAGAATATGGACATGGGATGTCCTTCCCAGAGTTGTTGTGTTGGGGCCGGGAATATGTAGCTCAGAGGTCACTAAGGCTATCTGTACAGTGAACGGCACATGGGTTTGATTCAGTTAATAAATCATCAGTCGTGTTTTGTCAGATGTCTGCAGAGTGAAGAAGGGTAAGTTGATTGGAAATTAAAATAATATTTTCTGTATGTTGCAGGAACGTGACTTTTTACAAAGTGAAGTTGGTTCTATGAAAGAAATAGTAGAGATGACGAAGGCTAATCTGCATATGATGTCACAGGAGAGGAACAATGTGAGGAACAGCTTGGACAGTGTTACACAGGTAGGACAATGTTACACAGGTAGGACAATGTTACACAGTTAGGACAGTGTTACACAGGTAGGACAATGTTAGACATGTAGGACAGTGTTACACAGGTAGGACAATGTTACACAGGTAGGACAGTGTTACACAGGTAGGACAATGTTACACAGGTAGGACAATGTGACACAGGTAGGACAGTGTTACACAGATAGGACAATGTTAGACATGTAGGACAGTATTACACAGGTAGGACAATGTTACACAGGTAGGACAGTGTTACACAGGTAGGACAATGTTAGACATGTAGGACAGTATTACACAGGTAGGACAATGTTACACAGGTAGGACAGTGTTACACAGGTAGGACAATGTTTCACAGGTAGGACAGTGTTACACAGGTAGGACAATGTTAGACATGTAGGACAGTGTTACACAGGTAGGACAATGTTAGACAGGTAGGACAGTGTTACACAGGTAGGACAATGTTAGACATGTAGGACAGTATTACACAGGTAGGACAATGTTACACAGGTAGGACAGTGTTACACAGGTAGGACAATGTTAGACATGTAGGACAGTGTTACACAGGTAGGACAATGTTACACAGGTAGGACAGTGTTACACAGGTAGGACAATGTTACACAGGTAGGACAGTGTTACACAGGTAGGACAATGTTACACAGGTAGGACAATGTTACACAGGTAGGACAGTGTTACACAGGTAGGACAATGTTACACAGATAGGACAATGTTAGACATGTAGGACAGTGTTACACAGGTAGGACAGTGTTACACAGGTAGGACAGTGTTACACAGGTAGGACAATGTTAGACATGTAGGACAGTGTTACACAGGTAGGACAATGTTACATAGTTAGGACAATGTTACACAGTTAGGACAGTGTTACACAGGTAGGACAATGTTACACAGTTAGGACAGTGTTACACAGGTAGGACAATGTTAGACATGTAGGACAGTGTTACACAGGTAGGACAATGTTACATAGTTAGGACAGTGTTACACAGGTAGGACAATGTTACACAGTTAGGACAGTGTTACACAGGAAGGACACAGGTAGGATAATGTAATACAGCTAAGACAGTGTTACACAAGTAGTGCAGTTGTATTGAGGGGATAGTAGTTGGGTGCCCAGTGAGGTGGTGTTCCAGAAGCATATAGAATGGGTAGAAGTGATTGAATAGTAGTGTCTTAATGGTGAATGATATCCTCATGTGTAAATAAAGAAGGCACCTTTCTATTCAATTTCAGGAGAACACTGTGCTTTGTAAGAAGATCCATGAGATGGCGGGGCAGATGGTGGAGTTGAGGACGCTGCTGCAGGCTGTCCAGGACGAGAATGAGAGTCTGTCTAGCACCTGGAAGAACGTCTCCCAGGTCAGTGTGAGAGTCTGTCTAGAACCTGGAAGAAGGCCTCCCAGGTCAGTGTGAGAGTCTGTCTAGCACCTGGAAGAACGTCTCCCAGGTCAGTGTGAGAGTCTGTCTAGCACCTGGAAGAAGGTCTCCGAGGTCAGTGTGAGAGTCTGCCTAGCACCTGGAAAAATGTCTCCCAGGTCAGTGTGAGAGTCTGTCTAGCACCTGGAAGAACCTCCTCCAGGTCAGTGTGAGAGTCTGTCTAGCACCTGGAAGAACGTCTCCCAGGTCAGTGTGAGAGTCTCTCTAGCACCCGGAAGAACGTCTCCCAGGTCAGTGTGAGAGTCTGTCTAGCACCTGGAAGAACGTCTCCCAGGTCAGTGTGAGAGTCTGTCTAGCACCCGGAAGAACGTCTCCCAGGTCAGTGTGAGAGTCTGTCTAGCACCTGGAAGAACGTCTCCCAGGTCAGTGTGAGAGTCTGTCTAGCACCTGGAAGAACGTCTCCCAGGTCAGTGTGAGAGTCTGTCTAGCACCTTGAAGAACGTCTCCCAGGTCAGTGTGAGGGTCTGTCTAGCACCTTGAAGAACGTCTCCCAGGTCAGTGTGAGAGTCTAGCACCTGGAAGAACGTCTCCCAGGTCAGTGTGTCCGTCTAGCATGTGGAAGAACGTGTGAGAGTCTGTCTGCATTCTAATGGTAGTTACTGAGTAATATTTACTGTATAAGGGTCTTGTTAGTATTCAAATATGCCAATATATTTTTCTGTTTTGAAGCAGAAAAAGAAATCTTTGAAGCAACATGCCTCAGAAGTAGGATCTTCCTTTTTAACTCGCAGCTGTAGTAAAAGTTTTGGAAGTAAATTTTCAGTCAATGTCAGCAGAACCAGTGTGACAAATGAAAACACAATGCCAGTGACAATGAGTGGGAAGTGCCTGCCAAACAACTTTCTCGGTCCTCTGTCCACAACAACGCGACTCCCGACAAACACACTGTTGACACACTCAGTTGCCCTGCAGGGCTGCTGTGGATTAATTGTGACCTACGTATCTATTGTCACGATTTATCCCAAGTGCAAAATATAACAAAATATCTTTGGTACATGATGTCTGTCTTAATATGAGATTTGTTATTACATGATTTTATTGTTATAAATATATGTCATTGTGTGGTTATCACAACCTTTCATCTGTTTTGTATTTTATATTTCTATTTAAAAACTGTACCTTCACTTTCAAAATAGCAATAGATCAATGGATACATAGGTTTTATCTCTATACTGACTGGTTCATTTTCTATTTTGTTGATAAAATAACCATAATTTCATTTCTTCAAATAGAACTGTTATCTTATTGAAAAATTTCAGAATAATGTTTAATTCAGATATGATCTTTAAGATATGGTTAGAGCAGAAATTTACCTTAGCATTCATAGAGGCCGATATTTGACCACAGACCTACAGCAAAATTGAACGAAAACAGTCAATTTATATTATCACTGTTATTTAATAATGCAGAGTGACTTGTATTTAACTACCAATAAAGAAGAACATTTCTTACAATTTGTTTTACATTATCATATTGAATGCTATGTTGAAATACCACTGAATACAAGAAAAAGTACATTTTAGACAAAATAATTTATTCAAATATCAAATAATTATATTAATTTGCTCATCTTTGTTGTGAATGAGTGCCATGAAATATATCCAACCTTTTCTTTGATATGCTTGAAAACTTGTTGGGACGAATGAAATGATGGCTCACACATTTATCTGTTGTTGATGTGTGACGGGGATGTTAGCAGTGTACTGTCAGGACACTTGCCACATGCAAATAAGGTGTTTGACTGTGATTGTTGCTTTTAAACAGGACAAACACAACGCTTCCAAACAGATCGAGAATTATCAGGACAGGGTTGCAGACCTGAAAGCTCGACTAGCTACCGTGGCAGCAGACAAAGATCGGCTGTTTCAAGAAAAACTGGACCTCAATCACAAGGTGCAGCAGCTGGTGCTGGATAAAGAACAGCTCATCAAGGTAATCCACAGTACTGCGACGTCAGTAATACTAAGTCTGTGAGGTATCAGTAGTACTAAGGCTGTGAAGTGTCAGTAGTACTAAGGCTGTGAGGTGTCAATAGTACTAAGGCTGTGAGGTATCAGTTGTACTAAGGCTGTGAGGTATCAGTAGTACTAAGGCTGTGAAGTGTCAGTAGTACTAAGGCTGTGAAGTGTAAGGAGTACTAAGGCTGTGAGGTGTCAGTAGTACTAAGGCTGTGAGGTATCAGTAGTACTAAGTCTGTGAGGTATCAGTAGTACTAAGGCTGTGAAGTGTCAGTAGTACTAAGGCTGTGAGGTGTCAGTAGTACTAAGGCTGTGAGGTGTCAGTAGTACTAAGGCTGTGAGGTATCAGTAGTACTAAGGCTGTGAAATGTAAGTAATACTAAGGCTGTGAAATGTAAGTAATACTAAGGCTGTGAGGTGTCTGTAGTACTAAGGCTGTGAGGTATCAGTAGTACTAAGGCTGTGAGGTGTCAGTAGTACTAAGGCTGTGAGGTATCAGTAGTACTAAGTCTGTGAGGGATCAGTAGTACTAAGGCTGTGAAATGTCAGTAGTACTAAGGCTGTGAGGTATCAGTAGTACTAAGGCTGTGAGGTATCAGTAGTACTAAGTCTGTGAAATGTCAGTAGTACTAAGGCTGTGAGGTATCAGTAGTACTAAGGCTGTGAAATGTCAGTAGTACTAAGGCTGTGAGGTATCAATAGTACTAAGGCTGTGAAGTATCAATAGTACTAAGGCTGTGAGGTATCAGTAGTACTAAGGCTGTGAGGTATCAGTAGTACTAAGGCTGTGAGGTATAAGTAGTACTAAGGCTGTGAGGTATCATTAGTACTAAGGCTGTGAGGTATCATTAGTACTAAGGCTGTGAAATGTCAGTAGTACTAAGGCTGTGAGGTATCAGTAGTACTAAGGCTGTGAGGTATCAGTAGTACTAAGGCTGTGAGGTATCAGTAGTACTAAGGCTGTGAAATGTAAGTAATTTTAAGGCTGTGAGGTATCAGTAGTACTAAGGCTGTGAAATGTAAGTAATACTAAGGCTGTAAGGTATCAGTAGTACTAAGGCTGTGAGGTATTAGTAGTACTAAGGCTGTGAGGCATCAGTAGTACTAAGGCTGTGAGGTATCAGTAGTACTAAGGCAGTGAGGTGTCAGTAGTACTAAGGCTGTGAGGTGTCAGTAGTACTAAGGCTGTGAGGTATCAGTAGTACTAAGGCTGTGAGGTATCAGTAGTACTAAGGCAGTGAGGTGTCAGTAGTACTAAGGCTGTGAGGTGTCAGTAGTACTAAGGCTGTAAGGTATCAGTAGTACTAAGGCTGTGAGGTATTAGTAGTACTAAGGCTGTGAGGCATCAGTAGTACTAAGTCTGTGAGGTATCAGTAGTACTAAGGCAGTGAGGTGTCAGTAGTACTAAGGCTGTGAGGTATCAGTAGTACTAAGGCTGTGAGGTATTAGTAGTACTAAGGCTGTGAGGCATCAGTAGTACTAAGTCTGTGAGGTATCAGTAGTACTAAGGCAGTGAGGTGTCAGTAGTACTAAGGCTGTGAGGTGTCAGTAGTACTAAGGCTGTGAGGCATCAGTAGTACTAAGGCTGTGAGGTATCAGTAGTACTAAGGCAGTGAGGTGTCAGTAGTACTAAGGCTGTGAGGTGTCAGTAGTACTAAGGCTGTGAGGTGTCAGTAGTACTAAGGCTGTGAGGTATCAGTAGTACTTAGGCTGTGAGGTATCAGTAGTACTAAGGCTGTGAAATGTCGGTAGTACTAAAGCTGTAAGGTGTCAGTAGTACTAAGGCTGTGAGGTATCAGTAGTACTAAGGCTGTGAGGTATCAGTAATACTAAGGCTGTGAGGTATCAGTAGTACTAAGGCTGTGATGTATCAGTAGTACTAAGGCTGTGAGTTGTCAGTAGTACTAAGGCTGTGAGGTGTCAGTAGTACTAAGGCTGTGAGGTATCAGTAGTACTAAGGCTGTGAGGTATAAGTAGTACTAAGGCTGTGAAATGTCAGTTGTACTAAGGCTGTGAGGTATCAGTAGTACTAAGGCTGTGAGATGTCAGTTGTATTAAATCTGAGATTCACCAGTACGTCTGTGACAAATCAGTAGTATTAAATCTGTGAGATTCACCACTATTACGATTTGTAACAAATCACATGTACATTTAAGATTTTCAGTCCTGTTAAAGTTACATTTATGAGATTCGGTAGTACATCTGGTTATCTGTACCATTACATCTGTGAGATATCAACGTAAGGAATGGTCATATATTATGGGGGATGGGTGTGGGTGGAGGGATTAGTCTTAGAACTGTGTCATGTTTTGTGGCCTTAGGATCAGTTATTTATATATCCCCTGCCATGAAGTGAAAGGGGGATATAGGAATGGATGCTGTCCATCCATCCTTCCATTCATTCATCACGTTTCGTTACCAGAGCAGAACTTAAAACCCAAGAGAGATATCTTAACCAAACTTGGCACATAGATAGGTCTAGTGGTAAACTGGTGCCTTTTGATAGTTTGGAATGTTTGAAAATATAATTTTAAAGTTTCCATGGCAACGACTTTGACATGAAAATGGAGGTAGTGCTCATTTCCGGAGCAGATCTTGTTTAATCTATAGTTTTACAGATGTGTTCAGAGTTAGTGAGCCTTCTGGCTTTATTTTTCAAGGATAGCAGAATGTTTTTTTATGCTAATCTCCTGACCGATGCCATGTTGTAGGTGAAGTTGTCGCTGGAGGAGCAGATCACAGACGCACAGCGTGACCTGAACAAGTCGCGGATGTCGTCCAACAAGAAGCACGATGACACCAGGAAGCTGGGGGAGGAACTCCAGGGGGTGAAGAGGGTGAGTGAAGGGGATATGTTGCCAGGAGACTTAGCAGGGACACTTGGCAGGGGCTCTTGGCAGGGGCTCTTGGTGGGACACTTCACCAGCAAGGCATCACTAAACATATGTCACCTTTAACTGTTATTGATGTGTACAGTTTTTGCCTTATAGAAATGGAGGGTCAGTTTTGTTTTTTTCATGGTCAACCTGGAATCTGTGACATGGCATGTGGAAGAGGTGTGCAAGGGCCCCTTTCCACGAAGCGATCTTAGCGCTAAGTCGATCCTAACTCCAATTCTTCAACACTGACTTGGGACAGTTGCAGCGCTAAGTTAATACTTACTCCCATTCTTTAGCACTGATTTACAACAGTTGTAGCGAAGATGGCTTTGTGGACCGGGGCCCTTGTCCATGAATGTATCTGTAGCTCTGGTAGCCACAGATGGGTACTAGAGGAACCCACTGGACCCACTGGACCCACATGTACGTATGTCCTTGTCCACTGTTCTAGGTGAGCCAGGAACTGTCCATGGAGCTGGCGTCAGTCAAGGCCTTCTACGAGCGTGCCCTGGAGCAGATCTCGCTGCTGGAGAACGGGAAGAAGATGCAGCAGCAGCACCAGGAGCTGTCCGAGCAGGAGAAGAGGCGGCTGCAGGGCGAGGTGGACAGGCTGACACAGGTAGGGTGGAGGTCCTGGAAACCACCCAGTCAGAGGGGTGGAAGGGTAGAGTAGGGGTGAAACAATACATCGGTGCACCAGTGCACCGTGAGTTTTCATGCGACAATACCATACATTTTGTATCGATACAAGACGATACACATGCTAAAAGAATTTACTTACTACTCGTTTTAAATACACCCAGCATTTTTGTCAGACAAATATCACAAAATGTGTTGTAATTAAGGTTTCATGTTCCTGACTAATAATAGTCGCTATGAACATGTGTCTTAAGCTAGCTTTACTTTTTGAACCTGCTCTAAAATATTTCTAGTCAAGAAGATGTCACGTGATTGGACGTAAATATGCATTGCGCCATGTGTATCGTATCGTGACTTATATGTAGTGATCGTATCGTAATGTGACCTTGCTGTATCGTTTCACCCCTGGGGTGGATGGTGATGGGGGTTATATTGGATACAAGGCTTGAAGGTGGGGGTGGATGGTGATGGGGGTTATACTGGATACAAGGCTTGAAGGTGGGGGTGGAGGGTGATGGGGGTTATATTGGATACAAGGCTTGAAGGTGGAGGGTGATGGGGGTTATATTGGATACAAGGCTTGAAGGTGGGGGTGGATGGTGATGGGGGTAATATTGGATACAAGGCTTGAAGGTGGGGGTGGATGGTGATGGAGGGTTATATTGTATACAAGGCTTGAAGGTGGTACCATGCTTGATAGTTGGCATCTTAGAAAGGCTACATTAACATTGAAACAGTCAACTCAAAAGACATACTGACTAACACACTGTGGAGGTAAATATTCTTGTGTAATTGCTGTGTTATATTTGTGAAACATCCCTGTCAGCATTCCAGGGTCATGGCTCTGGTACATCGTTCTTGTGGTGAAAGGGGTCTATAATGACCCTGGGTTTCCCATGTCAATCAAAGATCTCATTGAACATCATGGATAGACCAACTAAGTCAGGACCTAGTGAATACACATCTCCTTGACCAGTGATCTCACTGTCAGCCACAGTGTTGTGTGCCCCATTGTAGGGCTCAGATAGGGCCAGTGTAATGTCCAATCTTAGTAGAGATTCATTCCGTGTTGCCAGCTGCTTGATGGGCGGAGTCGGGAAGACCGCAAGGGCCGTGAGGAGCTGGAGGATAGCATGTCCCGGATAAAGGTGAGAAGATGCTGGTCAGATTGTGGCCCTCGATGCACTTGAGACAAGGGTCTGCCTAGCTGTGAACCATTTATTGCTGGTCCATCTACCTTGAGCTTTTCAGGGAATTTAGTAAATCTTGCCCTTAAGTATACCCGTGTGATATTAAACAGGAATCTTGCCCTTCAGTATGTGATAGCAGGAATTTAGTTTATCTTGGCCTTAATGATACTCATGTGATAACAGGAATCTAGTGAATATTGCCCATCAGGATACTCATGTGATAACAGGAATTTAGTGAATCTTGCCCTTTAGTATACCAATGTGATAACATAAATTTAGTGAATCTTGCCCTTTTGTATACCCATGTGATAACAGGAATTTAGTGAATCTTGCCCATCAGGATACACATGTGATAACAGGAATTTAGTGAATCTTGCCCATCAGGATACCTATGTGGTAACAGGAATTTAGTGAATCTTGCCCTTTAGTATACCAATGTGATAACATAAATTTAGTGAATCTTGCCCTTTTGTATACCCATGTGATAACAGGAATTTAGTGAATCTTGCCCATCAGGATACACATGTGATAACAGGAATTTAGTAAATCTTGCCCATCAGGATACCTATGTGATAACAGGAATTTAGTGAATCTTGCCCTTTAGTATACCCATGTGATAACAGGAATTTAGTGAATATTGCCCATCAGGATACCTATGTGATAACAGGAATTTAGTGAATTTTGCCCTTTAGTATACCCATGTGATAACAGGAATTTAGTGAATATTGCCCATCAGGATACCTATGTGATAACAGGTACTTAGTGAATTTTGCCCATCAGTATACTAGTGTGATGAAGGGAATTTAGTGAACTTTGCCCTCCAGAATATCCATCAGATCAGTGGAAATGATGAGTATCCTCCAGTGCTACAGTATCCCATGAGCTGTTATGTGTGACTGTCATGTATGCCATTATGTAACATGTGTTGGGATGTAGGTTTTAATTGCCTGATTGCTAACCTTGGGTGTGGTTCTTTTATTCAGTTGATGCACTCAGCCAAAGTTTTAGATGGTCTGAGTAGGTTTGAGGTTTGTATAGCCACAGTGTTGATATGAAGGCTCTCGCAATGGCTTGACTTGCACTCGGTAGACTATCTAACTAATTCCTTCTTTCGATCTGTCAAATGCACAAACTCTGGCTTTCAAAATTTGTATGTAGTGCCTCTTGGTATTTTTTCGTTCAAAATGATGTTAATATTTCTGAGAAAGTTCTTCCAGTAAACATAACATTGGTCTGGAGTAGAAGCCGTGTGATGCAGTAGCGCCAACTTGGCTTCTTGACTGCTGTCATGTTGAATGTTGTAGCCAGCGGTTGTAAGAAGCCCTAGATAGCACTGAGTGTGTGGAGGTCCCCTGGGGCTCTACAGTGAAACTGTAACACAGCCAGACAGTCAACATACGTTGTAGTTTTGTCTGATTGTATTACAGGCACGTGAAGGCATTCATGTTTCCAGCACAAACTGAGCAACAAACCGATGTCGTACTGTATCCATGCACCCTTATGCACCCTTGATCAACAAAGCGATCTTAGCGCTCAGGCGATCATATCTCTCATACATTAACATAGACTTGCGATGATCGTAGCGCCAAGATCGCTTTGTGGAACAGGGCCCTGGGTGCCGTTGTTCGAAACAACCCTAGCGCTACGACTGTCGTAAGTCTATGTTAATGGATCACCTTAGCACTACGATCGCTTTGTACAATGGCACCCTGGACACCTTTGTACACCTGAACATCTGTTCAAATCCTGTGTGAATACATGCTCAACTCTACACCTGTGAAATTATGAACACCTGTACATGATACACCTTTTCTTTGATGAATCAGTGTTACACAGCTAACATGGCACCATGTGGACATTATCTGTCTTCCATGGGAGTACATGGTGGAAAGTCAGAAAACATCGCTCAGGACAAGATGTGCTCGATTCTTGACAATGGGGACCTCTACCCTTTGTGTGTGTTTGAATGTTTGTGTTTAACACTTTATTAGCTAGTTTAAGTTTTGAATCGTCTAGTCCTGCAGAGTTTGGTTTAGTTCACCAAGCTGTAGATTCAGGCGGATTTAAGACAGATGTACTTGTTTCATTTATTATCATATAATGTCATTTGGTTTCATTCAGCAGTACATCCAACCCCATGTTGTTTACTGTTGTGTCTCGTTGTGCTTGTGACAGTCACACAACACTGTCAGGCTGGGCTACCACTGGAGGCTGCTGATGCCAGCTTACTGCAACTTGCTTATTTAGCCTAGGTGTATGATGGACATATATGCAGTCTTATACTTTTTACTGAGCTTAATTAACCAAAAATATAAATACTGCTCAGAAGAAGTTAAAGAACACCCAATCCTTTTATGTTACTAAAGTTAATGTGTCATGTTATGACATGACATAATTAACTATTGTAATATGAAAGAATTGGGTGTTCTCTGACTTCTTTTGAGTAGTATGTGTTCAAATGTATGCTTATAGTTTGTGGTATTGTCTCATACCTATTGACATAGTCAGCACCCCAGATATTTAACCCCATCAAAGAGCAAACGGTGTGCTTATTGGGATGCGGTCTAAGATTGGGGATGCTTAGGTGTTTTTATACAGCACAAATTTATCTTTGTTCATTTTTTAATCAGTCACCATTTATATAATGCTTGAATACTGATATTTTGAAATTTCCAGTCATGTGATCAAAAAGCTCAACAATCAACATAGATGCAGGAATGTGAGAGTGTTGGAGTGGGGTTAGATAAAGGGTGAAGGGTGCTTATTATGTCGATTATGATAATGTGTAATTGATAATATTATTATAACCATGTTTAACTTCTTATATGCACTATATAGGTAATGTATATGTAAATACACTATATGTAGGGGAAATTAAAATTGTATGGGTTTCTTACGCTTTAGACACCTTGAACTGTACCTACATAGATGTGACGTACTCAAGTCTGAGTTTATCATAACAATCCCTGGGTACCATTGTACAGAACAACCTTAGCACTACGACTGTCGTATGTCTGTGCTAAGGGATGGCAGTTACGGTCACCTTAGTGCTAAGATCACTTTGTACAACGCCACCCTGGTCTGTGTGAGACTGGTAACTGTGTTGTTTTGTGTTTGTTGTTGTTTATAGTTCTGCCATTCAAAACGTTGTACAAAGAAGGAGTGAAATGAAAATTGACCAGGAGTCTCCTTGTTTCTCGTGGTCGCGGTGGTGAACACACCAGTTTGAATTCAATGGAATGTGAACTAGTGCTTTCAGATCTATTTCCCTCTTATAAACATTCTAGGGTAGGCGAATCCATTGACTGATTTTATAACAGAAGACTTGCCTTGTATGATACATGAAGGAACTAATTTTACTTGTACAGTGTTGTAAGTTCTCAAAATATATCCTAAATGCTTGTTTAAAAAAAGCACATTTTTCATTATCTATTTCATCCTCCTACTCAGTGATGTTGAAAAATAAGTCTGTGAAAACAAGTAATAATAAAAGAGGTTTTAATATGTATATAATACAACAGTGAGGTTGAGTTACAGTATGGGATTTTGATGTTTTGATGAAATTCAGGGGTTCTTAGTTTCTAGGGGTTTTGGCTGGAGTATTTGCATATAAAGATCCGATAGCCTTTGGAATAATGTTAAGTTTATGACAAGGACCCCTTGCCTTTCATTCTTTTTTTAAAACACTGGGATTTACTGCCAATATTTGTGGTGGCTATATTAAGCCGGGCCCTGCACACAGTGTAATTTGTAGGTCCCTATGCCCCACCATAGGCTGGCTGTCGATGCAGGTCACAGAGATCGACAATCATTAAATATCAATCAACTATCGATAAATATCAGAGTAGTAACAATGAGCAAATACGCAAAACAAGTCCAAACAAATCGACATATTTCACCCAACTGGCGAGTGGTGGCACATATGTGCGTAGATTACTTTGGACATTAAAGATATAACGAAAACAGTTGCTTTCCATCTTCAGCAATTGGCATAATTGACAAGAACAAGTCTGTTTTGGTTATCTAAACTTTATTTCATCAAAATAGTTTACGTAAGATATTATCGATGACACAATTTTCATATCGATTAATGTTTATATTTCTTTACTTCAACAATGATTACGATTATGGATGTTTATAGCCATCCCTACCCCAGCATGTTCAGTGTGTTCTCCATGTAATCAGTGTGGTGTGTTCTGTACAGACTGACCTGAAGCAGCTGAGGAACGAGAAGGCCCAGACAGACAACCACAACAGGGAGCTGGAAATGGTGGGTTATTGTAACATCGGCAGTCCACACCTCACGTGTCCTCAGATACACCTGCACATGTTCTTGTCTGTTTTTTCACTTTGTGTAGTTGCAAGTAATACACACAGCCATGATAAGTTGTTGATGGAATTGTCCATCCATGCTTGCCACCATGTTTCCCTTGGTTTCATCAACCAAGGTGTCATCTCTTTCTGCGGCCTGAAATGTTGCTTGCTCAAATTGTATTGACAAAAAATGCAATTAAAATAAAACAGAAAAATTAGATGTCTACAATTTCCCATAAAAATGGATCACAATGTATTTATATTGCCCAATATCTTTTTTCTATAAAATGTTTTTTTTTCAAAATGTGTACTAGCTATTCTCTGGATTCTAATGAGATTCCACAGCAGTGTATCATGCCAGACGTTGACAAACATGGCCCTATTTTGTACTAGTTATTCTCTGGATTCTAATGAGATTCCACAGCAGTGTATCATGCCAGACGTTGACAAAAATAGCCCTATTTTGTACTAGCTATTTTCCGGATTCTAATGAGATTCCACAGCAGTGAATCATGCCAGACGTTGAAAAACATTGCCCTATTTTGTACTAGCTATTCTCTGGATTCTAATGAGATTCGACAGCAGTGAATCATGCCAGACGTTGACAAACATGGCCCTATTTTGTACTAGCTATTCTCTGGATTCTAATGAGATTCCACAGCAGTGAATCATGCCAGACGTTGACAAACATAACCCTATTTTGTACTAGCTATTCTCTGGATTCTAATGAGATTCCACAGCAGTGAATCATGCCAGACGTTGACAAACATGGCCCTATTTTGTACTAGCTATTCTCTGGATTCTAATGAGATTCCACAGCAGTGATCCATGCCAGACGTTGACAAACATGGCCCTATTTTGTACTAGCTATTCTCTGGATTCTAATGAGATTCCACAGCAGTGTATCATGCCAGACGTTGACAAACATAACCCTATTTTGTACTAGCTATTCTCTGGATTCTAATGAGATTCCACAGCAGTGATCCATGCCAGATGTTGACAAACATGGCCCTATTTTGTACTAGCTATTCTCTGGATTCTAATGAGATTCCACAGCAGTGAATCATGCCAGACGTTGACAAACATGGCCCTATTTTGTACTAGCTATTCTCTGGATTCTAATGAGATTCCACAGCAGTGAATCATGCCAGACGTTGACAAACATGGCCCTATTTTGTACTAGCTATTCTCTGGATTCTAATGAGATTCCACAGCAGTGAATCATGCCAGACGTTGACAAACATTGCCCTATTTTGTACAGAAACTACAGCGAGCCAATGAGGAGATCCGGCGGACATCCACCATCCAGCAGGAGGAGATGGTGACGTGGAAGTTGACGTGCGAGAGACTGACCGGTGCCGTCACAAGGAAGGAGTCAGAGTTGCAGAGTCTCACAGACAAGTGTCACGACACGGAGTCCATTGTAAGCTGGAGACAGGTGTTAGGGACCCACCATTTTATTATGCTGGTGTGGAAAATTTTTGTCTTGAAAAAGAAATGCTTTCGGTCAAGGGTTCAAAAGAAGTAGCCGAACAATTACATTTTTTTTCACATAATTTTCTAACAGGACATCAAGATTAGTCAAAGGCTAAGGTCAGCTTTCAGGTTTTTTTAGAAACATGGTTATGTGTTTGTCAGTTTCTGAGTATATGGTTACCTCTCTGCAGCCATGAAACTTTGATTGCATGTGTCTTTACAAATCTTTACACATCTGATGTTGGTGATATGTCTAGCAAAGTTCAAGACCATCTTTGTGATTATAATGTAGCATTGCTGTATCCTACTGGAAGGAGAACATTAGTAGCTGGGTGTATTCTTCCAGATCAGAAGATTACAAGAAGAACTCAGGATAATCCGAGACCAGTACGAAGCACTTGAAGACCAGAGAGATGACACAGACAGGTGGGTACAGGTGACATAGATAGGTGGGTACAGGTGAAACTGACAGGTGGGTACTGGTGACACAGACAGGTGGGTACAGGTGACACAGACAGGTGGGTACAGGTGAAACTGACAGGTGGGTACTGGTGACACAGACAGGTGGGTACTGGTGACACAGACAGGTGGGTACAGGTGACACAGACAGGTGGGTACAGGTGACACAGACAGGTGGGTACTGGTGACACAGACAGGTGGGTACAGGTGGTACTGACAGGTGGGTACTGGTGACATAGACAGGTGGGTACTGGTGACACAGACAGGTGGATACAGGTGATACTGAAAAGAGGGTATAGGTGATACTGACAGGTTGGTACAGGTGACACAGACATGTGGGTACAGGTGATACTGACAGGTGGGTACTGGTGACACAGACAGGTGGGTACAGGTGACACAGACAGGTGGGTACAGGTGACACAGACAGGTGGGTACAGGTGACACAGACAGATGGGTACAGGTGACACAGACATGTGGGTACAGGTGACACAGACAGGTGGGTACAGGTGACACTGACAGGTGGATACAGGTGACACAGACAGGTGGGTACAGGTGACACAGACAGGTGGGTACAGGTGACACTGACAGGTGGGTACAGGTGACACAGACAGGTGGGTACAGGTGACACTGACAAGTGGGTACAGCTGACACTGACAGGTGGGTACAGGTGACACAGACAGGTGGGTACAGGTGACACAGACAGGTGGGTAAAGGTGACACAGACAGGTGGGTACAGGTGACACAGACAGGTGGGTACAGGTGACACAGACAGGTGGGTACAGGTGATACTGACAGGTTGGTACAGGTGATACTGACAGGTGGGTACTGATGACACAGACATGTGGGTACTGATGACACAGACAGGTGGGTACAGGTGATACTGACAGGTTGGTACAGGTGATACTGACAGGTGGGTACAGGTGACACAGACATGTGGGTACTGGTGACACGGACAGGTGGGTACAGGTGACACAGACAGGTGGGTACAGGTGACAGTCAGGTGGGTACTGGTGATACTGACAGGTTGGTACAGGTGATACTGACAGGTGGGTACTGATGACACAGACATGTGGGTACTGACAGGTGGGTACAGGTGACAATGGTTAACGTTTCAAACTGCATTCTGATCTGTTGTTTTTGTTTTGTCAGATTACGGTCTGAGAACCGTCGTATGCATCAGGAGAAGGCTGAGAATGAGCAGATGATCCAACTCCTGGAAACCCAGAAGGAAGTCCTCACTAAGAGTGTGAGTATATGTGACAGTCAGGATCTTGGTTGTCCTGTGAGGGTGTGAGTATATGTGACAGTCAGGGTCTTTGTTTTCCTGTGAGAGTGTGAGTATATGGCAGGGTCTTGGTTGTCCTGTGAGAGTGTGAGTATATGTGACAGTCGGGGTCTTGGTTTTCCTGTGAGAGTGAGTATATGTGACAGTCGGGGTCTTGGTTGTCCTGTGAGAGTGTGAGTATATGACAGGGTCTTGGTTGTCCTGTGAGAGTGTGAGTATATGTGACAGTCGGGATCTTTGTTGTCCTGTGAGAGTGTGAGTATATGTGACAGTCAGGGTCTTGGTTGTCCTGTGAGAGTGTGAGTATATGACAGGGTCTTGGTTGTCCTGTGAGAGTGTGAGTATATGTGACAGTCAGGATCTTGGTTGTCCTGTGAGAGTGTGAGTATATGTGACAGTCAGGGTCTTGGTTGTCCTGTGAGAGTGTGAGTATATGTGACAGGGCATTAGTTGCCGCCACTAAGTGTGACAGGTATGTGTAAATGGTAAAGAATAACTCCCACAAAAATGTTCTCATTGTGAAATTTTAGCATAGATGCTCATGTATTCTGTTTCCTAAAAAAATAGTATTGTGAAGTGGTCTCCAAGCTATATCCTGTTTGGTATGTGTTGCTGTGTCAGGACTCTCTGACTGAGTGTTTTGTTCCACAGACGGAGAGCAGCCTCAACAAGCTGCATGATGTGGACCATCTCAGTGGCAAGGTGGAGCAGTTCCGCTCGGAGAACGAGCTTCTCAGGTAACTCCTGAATCACTCATACTGTCTGTGTGACCAGCTGGTGTGCTGATGGAAACTACAATGTCTTGGTTCAAAGCCTGGTTACATCTTTGATTCCATAACTACTATTTCCAAGGTCACACTACCCATCCATGTTTGGAAGAGCCAACTGACTTGGGATGAGTGATAGCAGTGTAAGAATGATAATGAATCATTGGACCCCAAAGTGTGGATCGTTGCATATGCTGTCAGCAACTGGTTTGCTTGGTCTAGACTCTAGTATCACTAGCTGCCATGATACAGCACTGAGTCTAGTTGGTCAGAGAGATGTTGCCATGTTCTGTGGTTGTTGATGTGTTCAGTGATATTTGATGTGCTCTGTGATTATTGATGTGTTCAGTTATTGTTGATGTGTTCAGTGATTGTTGATGTGTTCAGTGACATTTGATGTGTCCTGTGATTATTGATGTGTTCAGTGATTGTTAATGTGTTCAGTGATTGTTGATGTGTTCTGTGATCGTTGACGTGTTCTGTGATTGTTGATGTGTTCAGTGATATTTGATGTGTTCTGTGATTGTTGATGTGTTCTGTGATTGTTGATGTGTGTGTTATGGTTGTAGAGACCGCATCACGGAACTGGAGAAGGTCCGGGACAACCTCATCAAACAGAAGGAAGAGGTTCTGGTAGGTCGTCTTATGTATGCCTCCTAGATTAAAAGATGGCCAATGACTATCTAAATACACAACTAAAACTTGCAGGATTAATCAGAAAAATTATTTCAAATGATAGAACATCTATCAGATTATACATGACATACCGTTACTGTTGACGGACTGGGGACACACGACACACCATTACTGCGAGATGACATAGGACTGACTGTAGACACAGTTGCTGTAGTTGTGAGTTGAGAGTGTGAGAGAGTCACTTTGTGTGCAGGCCAACAGTGAGCTGATCTACAAGAAGCCAGGCCTGGACGACCTAGAACACAAGACAGAGGAACTGAGGGCCGCCAACAAACAGCTGCGCGAGATCAACGACGTCATGTCCGACAAACTGGAGGTTGTAGAGCGGGTAAATCACTGCCGTTTCAAGTATTGGAAGAAAAATGTTGAATTTGATTTATAGGAGTTTTGTTACAACAATTTATGAAATGTTATTGAATTTATGTTGCTGTGATCCTGGCACATCCAAAAGGAAGACATTACAGCCACCAACAGATATTCCAAAAAATGTGAAGATTGTGAATCATACATGCTTTTGCATAGTATCAAATGCTTTTTGTTATATGTTTTCAGGAAAATGCAAGATTAAAACAAGCCATTGGTGGGCCGTCAAATACCAGTGAGGAAAGGTACGTAGCAAGATCAGAGTTCTCCTTGAAATTAACCCTTTGTTATATTGTTAAGTGAATGTTTATTGAATATATGATATGATAGTGGGTTCGAATTCTGGTCCACCCTGATTATGTTTCTTGGTTTGTCTGCACAGTACCTTTGCTCATGGGTTCAGCAAACCATCTATCACCTGCATCACTTCAGGCTTCCCTACAACATCAACCTGATATGCAGTGGTATAACTGAAACACTGTTCAAAGCAAAACTCACTCATTGTTATATTCATGTCATTCTTGTGTGTATGGTATTCAATGGATGGTGGTTTTCAAACATCAGACAGGTATTGTGTGATTTCGATTCATGGTCTCAATTTGTTTTTTTACAGACTACAGAGAGAAAATAAAAAGATCAGTGAAGATTACACCAACCTTAGAAACGATTACGAGAGTCTGGAGTCTCGACATCAGAGAATGGTCATCAACTACGGCCATGAGGAGATGCTGGAGAAAGGTAGGCCAGTCTTGATAGGAAGTGTCTCTGTAGGCTTGTCATGATAGGAAGTGTCACTGTAGGCTTGTCATGATAGGAAGTGTCACTGTAGGCTTGTCATGATAGGAAGTGTCACTGTAAGCTTGTCATGATAGGAAGAGTCACTGTAGGCTTGTCTTGATAGGAAGTGTCACTGTAGGCTTGTCATGATAGGAAGTGTCACTGTAGGCTTGTCTTGATAGGAAGTGTCACTGTAGGCTTGTCTTGATAGGAAGAGTCACTGTAGGCTTGTCATGATAGAAAGTGTCACTGTAGGCTTGTCATGATAGGAAGTGTCACTGTAGGCTTGTCTTGATAGGAAGTGTCACTGTAGGCTTGTCATGATAGGAAGTGTCACTGTAGGCTTGTCATGATTGGAAGAGTCAACATAGGAGAGTCACCGTAGGCTTGTCTTGATAGGAACAGTCACCGTAAGCTTGCCTTGATAGGAGAGTCACTGTAGGCTTGCCTTAGTAGGAAGAGTCAACATAGGAGAGTCACCGTAGGCTTGTCTTGATAGGAACAGTCACCGTAGGCTTAACTTAGTAGGAAGAGTCACCATAGGAGAGTCACTGTAGGCTTGCCTTGTAGGAAGAATCACTGTAGGCTTGCCTTGGTAGGAAGAGTCACTGTAGGCTTGCCTTGGTAGGAAGAGTCACCGTAGGCTTGCCTTGGTAGGAAGAATCACTGTAGGCTTGCCTTGGTAGGAAGAATCACTGTAGGCTTGCCTTGGTAGGAAGAATCACTGTAGGCTTGCCTTGTAGGAAGAGTCACCGTAGGCTTGCCTTGGTAGGAAGAGTCACCGTAGGCTTGCCTTGTAGGAAGAGTCACCGTAGGCTTGCCTTGGTAGGAAGAGTCACCGTAGGCTTGCCTTGGTAGGAAGAGTCACCGTAGGCTTGCCTTGGTAGGAAGAGTCACCGTAGGCTTGCCCTGGTAGGAAGAATCACTGTAGTTGTTTCTGATTCTTCTCTTTGTCCTTATCTCCCACAGAGAAGCAGGACATGGTGAAGCAGGTATTCCCCACTGCTGTTTCTTATTCTTGTCTATGTCCTATCACACCCAGAGAGGCAGGACATGGTGAAGGAGAAATTGGCCACTGTTGTTTCTGATTCGTGTCTATGTCTTACCTCCCCCAGAGAAGCAGGACATGGTGAAGCTCCGCAAGGAAAGAGATGCCCTCCAGAAGCAGGTGCAGCTCCTCAATGGGCAGCTGGTGCTGGTTGAGGGCAGCAAGAAGCGGCTAGAGGACACCGTCACACAGCTGCAGGAGACCATCTCCAGACTCAAGGCCAAGATCACAGAGAAACCCACGGGGTAAGGATCATGCACTGTCACAGAGGCCAATGGGGTAAGGATCATGCACTGTCACAGAGGCCAATGGGGTAAGGATCATGTGCTGTCACAGAGGCCAATGGGGTAAGGATCATGTACTGTCACAGAGGCCAATGGGGTAAGGATCATGCACTGTCACAGAGGCCAATGGGGTAAGGATCATGTACTGTCACAGAGGCCAATGGGGTAAGGATCATGCACTGTCACAGAGGCCAATGGGGTAAGGATCATGCACTGTCACAGAGGCCAATGGGGTAAGGATCATGTACTGTCACAGAGGCCCATGGGGTAAGGATCATATACTGTCACAGAGGCCAACAGGGTAAGGATCATGTACTGTCACAGAGGTCCATCGGGTAAGGATCATGTACTGTCACAGAGGCCCATGGGGTAAGGATCATGTACTGTCACAGAGGCCCATGGGGTAAGGGTCATGTACTGTCACAGAGGCCCACAGGGTAAGGATCATGTACTGTCAGAGAGGTCCATCGGGTAAGGATCATGTACTGTCACAGAGGCCAACAGGGTAAGGATCATGTACTATCACAGAGGCCCACAGGGTAAGGATCATGTACTGTCACAGAGGCCAACGGGGTAAGGATCATGTACTGTCACAGAGGCCAACGGGTAAGGATCATGTACTGTCACAGAGGCCCACGGGGTAAGGATCATGTACTGTCACAGAGGCCAACAGGGTAAGGATCATGTACTATCACAGAGGCCAACGGGTAAGGATCATGTACTGTCACAGAGGCCAACGGGGTAAGGATCATGTACTTTCACAGAGGCCAACAGGGTAAGGATCAAGTACTTTCACAGAGGCCAACAGGGTAAGGATCATGTACTGTCACAGAGGCCCACAGGGTAAGGATCATGTACTATCACAGAGGCCAACGGGTAAGGATCATGTACTGTCACAGAGGCCAATGGGGTAAGGATCATGTACTTTCACAGAGGCCAACAGGGTAAGGATCAAGTACTGTCACAGAGGCCAACAGGGTAAGGATCATGTACTGTCACAGAGGCCAACAGGGTAAGGATCATGTACTGTCAGAGAGGCCCATGGGGTAAGGATCCTGAGTATTAATCATGTACTGCATTTTATATAACACATTTTTGCATTAAATGGGTAGGAGGTCCTACAACATGTATCACGAAGTATATCCAGATGTACTCCCTTCTTCACAGATCTGACTCGGGGGTTCAGAGGCTGGAGGGTGAGGTAAAGTCCCTCAAGGACAAGCTGTCAAAGTCGGAGGCTGCCAAACAGAAGCAGGATCAGACTGTGAAGAACCTGAAAGATGTATGTATACATATCCTATACCAGTGGGGCCAGAAAGTGACAAGGAATATGCATGTCATAGATCCTGTTGTAGTGTTTGTGGAGTGTAGTCACACCCATCTTCAAGTCTATGGTAGCATGGTAGTTGGTCTGTAGTCTAACATCCTGAAGATCTTGTGTAGCCACTACTGTAAGCTTGCAAATAATCCAAAAACCAAATGAACTCACAATAAACAATCAGTCACATTTTGTTTATAACTTTTGAAAAGGAAATCAATTATAGATATAGCATAGGGCATAATCGCTGAAAGTACATTGTGATCTGCTTGAACAATTGAGCAGTCAGCTGTGTGTGTCTAGTGGAAACGCATAGGTACAGCTTGAGACTCACCTACTACCTATAGAGCTTGTCATTATGTAGTCACCTGCATCAGGGCTCACCTGCTCTTCTTCCTTCACATTGAGATGACCTGTCATCCTCTGTATTACCTTCCTTGCTGTCTTCAGTTCTGACATGACCTTGTATCATACCAGGGCACTGTTTCACAAAGTGGTCCTAATGCTATGACTATCGTAACTCCCTTCTTCTGACTGTTGTAGCGATGTGATCACCTTGTGAACCAGGACCCCGATGAGAAGCCTCTCTGTCCTTCTTGACTTGCTTGTATGTCATGATATGGTAGTCTCTCTTTGCCACTGAAACTCCAGACTTGGCTTTTTCCCTCCTGACTTGCCCCTGTCCCTCCTGACTTGCCCCTGTCCCTATTGCCTTGGCCCTGTCCACTCTGACTTGCATCTGTCCCTCCTGACTTGCCCCTGTCCCTCCTGACTTGCCTCTGTCCACACTGACTTGCTTGTACGTAGTCACATCGTAGTTTCTGTTTTATCTCATTAGGAGCTGGAGGAAGAGAGGACCAAGAAACCATCACAGATACGGGTTTGCACTTTGCCTTTTTTGTTCATTTGTTTATTTTAATTTCACTGTGATAAGGAAGGATATTTATGTTTTAATCTGTTTATCATTTGGTATAGTTAATTGAAGGGAGATGTTGTCTGGAGGGAAAGGGAAGGTAGATGGATTGGGTGATGAATGGAAGGTAGATGGATTGGGTTGGGGTGATGAATGGAATGAAAGGTAGATGGATTGGGTTGGGTGATGAGTGGAAGGTAGATGGATTGGGTTGGGTGATGAATGGAAGGGAGATGGATTGGGTTGGGGGTGATGAGTGGAAGGTAGATGGATTGGGTTGGGTGATGAATGGAAGGTAGATGGATTGGGTTAGGTGATGAATGGAAGGTAGATGGATTGGGTTAGGTGATGAATGGAAGGTAGATGGATTGGGTTAGGTGATGAATGGAAGGTAGATGGATTGGGTTGGGTGATGAATGGAAGGTAGATGGATTGGGTTGGGTGATGAATGGAAGGTAGATGGATTGGGTTGGGTGATGAATGGAAGGTAGATGGATTAGTTTGAGGTGATGAATGGAAGGGAAGGTAGATGGATTATGTTGGGATGATGATTGGAAGGTAGATGGATTAGTTTGAGGTGATGAATGGAAGGGAAGGTAGATGGATTATGTTGGGATGATGATTGGAAGGTAGATGGATTATGTTGGGATGATGATTGGAAGGTAGATGGATTGGGTAGGGGAGATGAATGGAAGGTAGATGAATTGGGTTGGGGTGATGAATGGAAGGTAGATGGACTTGGTTAGGTGATGAATGGAAGGTGGATGGATTGGATTAGGTTAGGTGATGAATAGTAGGTTAATAGATTAGGTTAGGTGATGAATAGTAGGTAGATAGATTAGGTTGGGTGATGAATGGAAGGTAGATGGATTGGTGGGTTAGGTGATAAATGGAAGGTAGATGGATTGGATTAGGTTGGGGTGATGAATGGAAGGTAGATGAATTAGGTTGGGGTGATGAATGGAAGGTAGATGGATTAGGTTGGGGTGATGAATGGAAGGTAGATGGATTAGGTTAGGTGATGAATGGAAGGTAGATGGATTAGGTTGGGGTGATGAATGGAAGGTAGATGGATTGGGTTGGGGTGATGAATGGAAGGTAGATGGATTGGGTTGGGTGATGAATGGAAGGTAGATGGATTGGGTTGGGGTGATGAATGGAAGGTAGATGGATTGGGTTGGGGTGATGAATGGAAGGTAGATGGATTGGGTTGGGTGATGAATGGAAGGTAGATGGATTGGGTTGGGTGATGAATGGAAGGTAGATGGATTGGGTTGGGTGATGAATGGAAGGTAGATGGATTGGGTTGGGGTGATGAATGGAAGGGAGATGGATTGTGTTGGGGAGATGAATGGAATGGAAGGTAGATGGATTAGGTTGGGGTGATGAGTGGAGAGGCTCATAGATGGAACTTGGGTGTTGAACGAAGAATGATGTTGGCTGTATGGGGGGTATAGTGAGTCTTCCATTATTTTCACAAGAAATCATGCACATAAAATTTCACTATCACAAAATGTTTACATTTTACTGTTTATTATTTTCTTTAGTTTTTTTTATTGAAATGCATGTGCACATGTCAATTTATGATTCTTTACATCCAAGAAGCAAGGGTCCTCTGTGTGGAGCAGTGTTATGAGGAATGAGTCATTAGTTTTGTACCCCAGGTGTTGCTGATTGTTGAAGGAGTTGCTTATTGTCGTGTTGTTGCTGTTGGAGTTGCTGATTGTCGATGTTGCTGCAGGAGTCACTGGAGGACGTGGGAGAGGAGCTACACCAGATGAGAGGGGAACTCCACAAACTTATGGAGGAGATCGAGAGGAAGGACCGGGAGATCCTGTCTCTGGAGAATGAGCTGAGGAAGACAAAGGAGGAGCTGGATCTCAAGTGGGTAGTGGATGCAGAGACATTTGTACATAACCTAAATCACTGTAGCAGAAGTATCGCTTGGAGCAAGTGCATTTTGGTCATGGGGATTGAAAGTTTGGTGCAAGTTAGGAATGAATGTTGGAAATGGCAATTTCTGTCTTGGAAACTGTAACCATTACTAGTTACTAGGAACGTTGGCCCATAGCTTTTCTATTATCTTCCCCCCTGCTCCAGGATCCAAATCATGACTGCTCCCCCAACTCCCTTCCCGGGATCTGTACCTTAACTTCCCCTCTGTTCCAGGGATCACAGGATCTGTACCTTAACTTCCCCTCTGTTCCAGGGATCACAGGATCTGTACCTTAACTTCCCCTCTGTTCCAGGGATCACGGGATCTGTATCTTAACTTCCCCTCTGTTCCAGGGATCACGGGATCTGTACCTTAACTTCCCCTCTGTTCCAGGGATCACGGGATCTGTACCTTAACTTCCCCTCTGTTCCAGGAATCATGGGATCTGTACATTAACTTCCCCTCTGTTCCAGGGATCACGGGATCTGTACCTTAACTTCCCCTCTGTTCCAGGGATTTGTACCTTAACTTCCCCTCTGTTCCAGGGATTTGTACCTTAACTTCCCCTCTGTTCCAGGGATTTGTACCTTAACTTCCCCTCTGTTCCAGGGATTTGTACCTTAACTTCCCCTCTGTTCCAGGGATCACAGGATCTGTACCTTAACTTCCCCTCTGTTCCAGGGATCACGGGATCTGTACCTTAACTTCCCCTCTGTTCCAGGGATTTGTACCTTAACTTCCCCTTTGTTCCAGGGATCACGGGATCAGTGACCTTCGAAAGCTGGTGGAGGACTTGGAGAAGCAGAATAAGAGTCTGAAACAGAACAAGGGCAGCCAGCATGATGAGTAGGTGTTACTATGACAACACAGCTCTCTGAGAATTATGACAAAATAGATTTAATCTGTTTAATCATGATGATAGACATGGAGAATCATTAATAATAAACACATTGACAAAACAAATGAATAGCATTGTTTTATTTGGGACTCAATGTTGTTCAGTGTGGGTGTGTTTGTTGTTTGTTGTTTGTTTGCACTTGGCAATATTACAGCTACACATACAGATGTTAATGATGTTAACTTGCTAGTTCTGTGAAGAGATTGTATCCTATTGTCTGGAAAGTATGATTTTCATTTTTCAAGTGTAAATCAGATAATTGAGATGAATGTAAACTGAAGACATTAAAGTGACTGATGAGGTTTGTTTTTCCCCAGATTGGACTCAGGTAACACTGTCCGGCTGACGCGTGGAAGTAAACTGCCTAAGTTTGTGTCGCCTGCCGTGTCCGGCTCAGCAAAGCCTGCATCTAACACTGCACCAAGTACAGTTGCTTTGTCTCACCATACTACTAACAGCACGGATGGGGTCGGAGAGAACCACGGGTGGGGCGGGGAGGAATGTTGAGGAGATTTGGAGAGAGTCAGGATGTGGTTGAGTGGAGTCAGGGCGCGGTTGAGGAGAATCGGGGAGAGTCAGGGTGGGTCGGGGAGAGTCAGGGTGGGTCGGGGAGAGTCAGGGTGGGGTTGAGGAGGGTCAGGGTTGGGTTGAAGAGAGTCAAGGTGGGGTTGGGGAGAGTTAGGCTGGTGTTGGGGAGAGTTAGGGTGGGGTTGAGGGGAGTCAGGGTTGGGTTGGAGAGAGTCAGGGTGGGGTCGGGAGAGCCAGGGTGTGGTTGAGGGGAGTCAGGGTGGTGTTGGGGAGAGTCAGGGTGGGGTTGGGGAGAGTCAGGGTGGGGCCGGGGAGAGTCAGGGTAGGGTCGGGGAGAGTCAGGGTGGGGTTGGGGAGAGTCAGGGTAGGGTCGGGGAGAGTCAGGGTGGGGTTGGGGAGAGTCAGGGTGGGGCCGGGGAGAGTCAGGGTAGGGTTGGGGAGAGTCAGGGTGGGGTTGGGGAGAGTCAGGGTGGGGTTGTGGAGAGTCAGGGAAGGGTCGGGGAGAGTCAGGGTAGGGTCGGGGAGAGTCAGGGTGGTGTTGGGGAGAGTCAGGGTGGGGTTGTGGAGAGTCAGGGTGGGGTCGGGGAGAGTCAGGGTAGGGTCGGGGAGAGTCAGGGTGGGGTTGGAGAGAGTTAGACTGGGGTCAGGGAGAGTCAGGGTGGGGTTGGAGAGAGTTAGGCTGGGGTCAGGGAGAGTCAGGGTGGGGTTGGGGAGAGTCAGGGTGGGGTTGGGGGAGAGTCAGGGTAGGGTCGGGGAGAGTCAGGGTGGGGTTGGAGAGAGTTAGGCTGGGGTCAGGGAGAGTCAGGGTAGGGTCAGGGAGAGTCAGGGTGGGGTTGGGGAGAGTCAGGGTGGGGTTGGGGGAGAGTCAGGGTGGGGTTGGGGAGAGTCAGGGTGGGGTCGGGGAGAGTCAGGGTGGGGTTGGAGAGAGTCATGGTTGGGTTGGAGAGAGTCAGGGTGGGGTTTGGGAGAGTTAGGGTGGGGTCGGGGAGAGTCAGGATGGGGTTGGAGAGAGTCAGGGTGGGGTTTGGGAGAGTCAGGGTGGGGTTGGGGATTGATGGACATCAGGGAGGGTCAGGAAGGGTTGGGGTGTTTGGGTGGAGATAAGGATGGGATTGATAGGTCAGGGGTCAAGGTTTTGTTTGTTAAAGGTTTGGGTAGGCATCTGTGGGCTTGGGGATATGTTTGGGTATATATAACAAATAGTAGATTTTTCAAAATGAGACAGCATCTGGAGATTCTCCAGATGATTGGGAACATCAGGTAGATGTATGCAGATCTGATAGTGCTTAGTGCCCAGAGGTACACTAGAACTAATTTTAGAATGAACTTGCTTTACATTGAAACTTTTTTTTTTCAATTTTATGAGGACATATAAACCATTTTTGCTGCATATCCATTAAATAATAGACATTCTGTTTCCCATATTTCTGCTTGACACTGGGGCAGAATATATCTTCTCTCAGACTTGACAACAAGCCATCCTGTAATATTGTTGTCACCAGTGTGAAAACCTATGCACTTTTTCGCTTTTGGATATCTTCCATTAGAAAAGGTCAAGTGGGCCAAGGGAGATAATTCTGCCACATCAGGTTAGCACAATTATTGTTGAAATAGTTACTAACATTTGAAGTGAATATATAAAGTGTGTGTTCCAGCTGTAGGAATAACATCAGTATTTGTTGGAGTGTACAAGAGCTTTTGAATTTTGTTGTATTAATTTGCTTGATTTGCAGATATATTTTTTTTAAACCAATACAAATAACAGCAAAATGTATTTCATTGCTTTTGAGGGTAAAATGAGAAATGAGTAAATGAAGGAAAAATAATGCTTAAAGTGTTTCTGGAATTAGTGATCCATTGCATATTTTTAGCTCCCCTGGCCTGAAAGGCAATGTGAGACTTTGTCAATGCAATTTGTTCATCGTCGAGGTGGTCCATACACCGTTACATTTAAGACGTGTTCTCCAACATGGCTTAATGGCTTCAGCAGAAAATTTGTTTGTGAAAATGGTTGAAAAGCCCTGTTGAAAGTTATATTTGTTGAGCCTTTGTCGTACAGTAACACTTAAGGGTTAGGGGTTAGAAATATTCCCCAGCAACATATGCTTGTCGTAGGAGGTATCTCAATGGATCCGTGCATAGATCGTTGCTCCCAATATCAGTCACTGGACTGTCTGGTCAAGACTCGATTATTTACAGGCCACTGTTATATAGCTGGAATATTGCTGAGTGCAGCGTTAAACAGGAAACAAACAATTGTATCATGTCTACAGTGGTCCTCGGTGAAACTCACGAGAATGTTCACTTGTTTCTGGTTCCTCAGGGTCCCTCCAGGAGGAGCTGCAGGATGCTCTGAAGAAGAAGGTGAGAGATACCCAGGTTGCCAAGGTTACGAAACCCTGAATTTTACAATTTCATCGAGATTTTTCTCATGTCAAGTGTTCAGAAATTTGTTATGTCCTTCACTTGTTTACTATGCTTTGATACAGCTACTTCTAGGACAGCTGTTGCTGTCTTCCTCAAACACATCCTCTCCTGTGTGGCCACATCTTCTCTCGAGGCAAGGGAGTTAACTGACTGTCAAAGTCCAAGTTTCCACCAATGATGAACTGGGCCGGAATTTCATGGCTCGATTGTAATGCCACCAGTGGCTATTATGAGTTATGTCCCTTCCATGTCCCTCCCATTGACCAGCCTGCTTCTGTAGTCTAGTGGTAGAGCCTCTGCCCGGAGAGGCAATGGTTGAGGTCTCCAGCTGTTCATGCATTATTGGGCTCATATGCTGTCCATGAGTTATAAATGGCCTCAGTTCATGAGCCTTCTAGGGCACAGGTGGCCCAGTCGTCTGAGGCGCCACGATTCGCTGTGCAGAGTTGCGTCCTTTGCGCACACCAGAAACCTATGATTGTTGGTTCACCCGGTTCACCCCGATTATGTTTCTAGGTTTGTCAGCACCATACCCGTGCTCGAGGGTTTCACTGAAGTGGTAAAAGTCTCAGACCTGCATCACTTCAGGCTTTCCTCCCACATTAAGCTGACACGCCGTGATATAACTGGCCATGGAATACTGTTAAAAGCGGCGTATACCCAACTCACTCATTAACCTTCTGAAAAAAGAATGTCTCACCACTACAAAGCCCAGCTGCTACATGTATTAACAGGCGACGGAGGAACGTAGTGTATACAAGACCATGAAGTAGTGACAATACAGTGTCACCAAGATCTCCTCGTGGAAAGCCAAAAGATTGAGGTCTCATGAAGTTTTGTTTATATTCCAGGAAAGTTCGGTTCCAAGAGTGATTCAAACCGATCCTCTTCTTAGTAAGAAGTTCCTGGAGGCCAAGCCAGCGCCCCCTAGTGAGCAAGGTAAACTCAACCCTGCGACAGGATTGTATGGTGCCCAGTTCTTTTTCAGTAAGTAAAGATGTTGGTTGTGTCCAGTTGCAGGCTGCCGTGTTGGCTAGTGTGTGTGTTAGAGGGAGGGGAGCACTGTTCTGTTCTCTCACTTGTGTGTAAGTATCACGGAGTACAGCACCATCGTTTGGACTTTCTGTCTGTAGATAATATTTCACATCAGATTATTAATTAAGAATTTTCATGGAGGATTGTATTATCAGTCATTTATTTGACAGTATATTGGTAACAGTATGATAAGTAAGTTTTCTTATGCTTATAAAAATTTCTTAATTTTGACTTTCTCTTGCCATGTTCTTCTGTAACTGTCTGTCACAGCCAGGCATTCTTCCCACTTTAAGGTTAGCTTTCATAATCCTAGTATAGAACATGAAGTTTCAACAACATATTAACATCTGTCTTCAACTATCAGCATCTACAGTAAACTACGGTAATAACGAACCCAAAGGAACCACTAATTGTAGTTCGTTATAATCATAGTTCATTATAATCATATACACAGCCTATACACAGCACATGGACGCGTAGTCAGTTATATCCGTCAGTTTGTTATAAGCGTGTTCGTTATAAACGTTAGTTTACTGTCTATCAAAGTGACTATCTTTCTACAACTCTGTACCCATATCTATGTCAATATATAAACCTATATCGGTTATTTAGGATACGTTTGCCATATTAGTGTCTGTCCAGGTAAAATCTCTTCATCAGGTCCTGATAGTTACACTTTTTAATGACCTGACCCATATACACACAGTGATCGTAAGACTAAGACTGTTGTAATTCACATGCTTTAAATTGAATTTCGGTAGTAATTCTATGTGCTTTAGTGAGTACTGGGCAATAACTATGACTGTCGTAATCCCTATATTTGAACATAGGTTTATGATAGTTGTAGTGCTAACATCATTTTTGTGACCCTGGGCGCCGTTGAACAAAGCTATCTTTGCACTAAGGTGATCGTAAGTCCCATACCTTAGGATAGACTTACGGCAGTTGTAGCACTAAGCTTGTTTTGTACAAAGGCACCCAGGGCTCAGTTCCACAAAACGGTCTTAGCTCTGAGATTGTCCGTGCTCCCTTACTTTAACATAGGCAGTCGTAGTGCTAGTTGTTGTAAGCTGTGGCTATAGAGGTTGTCCGTGGTATCACAGAAACTACATCACAGCTTCAACATGACAGACAGACAGACAGACAGACAGAGACAGAAAGACATTACTGTTGTCTATTGTGTATCAAGAATTAGCACTCTTTGCATGACAGTTGTTTCTAACATTCACAGTTTCTTTGACAGTTCCAGTTGATTCTAATGAGCACATCACCATGTGTCATATCAGTAAGGGTTGGGGGTGGGTAGGTTTTTTTAAAGTTTGAATTTACTATTTTTGTTTTGCCTCTTTTTATGTTAATTTTATTGCTTTGGTTCTATTGTCAGATTTGGGTGAGGATGCTTTTCTTTGCTGATGATTTTGGTATTCATGTTCAACTTGAGGTCTTTAGAATATTGTTTCTTTGAATCTAATTGTATATTTCTTGTCAATGTTGCTGAGAGGAGTGCTAGACTCATGAATTAATGTATGTTTATTAAAGTTTTATTCGTATAATTTTATGATATGGAAGTGTGTAATGATAAGTTGATTGAAAATTTCAAGGAGCATCTTCACAAATCACAATCATTATGAATATTACAGTACAGCTTATTATGGAATCATGTAATAGTTGTATATTACTTAATCTTACCTGTGAAAAGTATATATGGGATAAAAATCAAAATGGGTCATTTTCACCATAATGGTAAAGTTTTAAACAAACTATGAGTGCTCCAAATATTTTCCAGATGTTAAAGCAAGGCTTCCTCAAATAATTCTCTTGTATTCCCTTTCTTCCCAGAGCCAGAGAAATCATCGACAGAAGGTTCTGGTCGACTGCAGAGTTTGATTTCTAAGTATAGAAGTCACAGCGATGCCACAACCGAGGAGCCCGAGAAAAAAGTGAAACCATTTTCCTTCACTACAGGAAGATTAGGGTTCAGGGGTAAGGGAGTCACCCTGACAACCCCCAAAGTCCCCGACAGCAAATCGCCCTCATCATCAGACCAGACGGGATTCAACAAACTAGGAGTAGGACGGTCAGGATCCAAGGGGCCACCTCCGCCAACGCTCCCCAAACCCAAAGTGAGGCAGGAGGTGGTGGCTGGAGCCTCACGGCCACAGGGTGGCCTGGAGCCAGGAGCCACTAGTGGAGCCGAGGCAGGGGAGGGACAGGGTAATCTGCAGGACACCCAGGAGCAGAAGGACATCAATGCTCTCATACAGAAGTGAGTATCTGCAGCAGATGCCGGAATGTTGGAAAGGAAAGTCTATATGTGACCCATTTCCTGTATGGGGGACCTGATGAGGAATTCTGAAATAAAAGGATTGAAAGGTTATGGCTGGTAATTGATCATTGTTGGGTTTGGATAGTCATGGTTTGATTTGTTTCTTGGCAACATGTGGTCAGCCCATTATGGAAAGGGTCATATATGGGTTGGTCATAGTTATTACTTTTTTTCATTGATAAAAAATGTTCCATTGTTTTGTTAATGTATTCAGATTTTAAGAAATAACTATGTTGACTTGATGAAATATGTAAATTCAGTTCTGTATCCGGTGTTGTGTGTTCACTAACCTAGTCCAGGTCTTGCATCTTCCTGTAGACACAACCCTACAATTGGCACGCAACACCTTTGTTGACACAGCCGTTTGACATTGATACAAACTTTGCCCTTCATGCTTTGCCTGATGAAAGCCAGACAATGACAGCTACATCATAATTACAGAAACCCCTTCCCGTTATAATAATAGAACTCCTTCCTGTTTATATAGGGTTGTCTATACAGCAACCCCTCCTGTCATAACAAGGCCCAGTCATAATAGTAACCCTTCCTGTTCATATGGCCCAATGATGATATCAACCCTTCCTGTTTATATGGCCCAATGATGATATCAACCCTTCCTGTCTATATGTCCCAATGGTAATAGGAACCCTTCCTGTCTATATGTCCGAATGGTAATAGGAACCCTTCCTGTCTATATGTCCCAATGGTAATAGGAACCCTTCCTGTCTATATGTCCCAATGGTAATAGGAACCCTTCCTGTCTATATGGCCCAAAGATAATAGGAACCCTTCCTGTTTATATGGCCCAATGATAATAGCAACCCCTCCTGTCATAACAAGGCCCAATGATAATAGTAACCCTTCCTGTCTATATGGCCCAATGATAATAGCAACCCTTCCTGTTCATATGGCCCAATGATAATAGAACCCCTTCCTGTTTCATTGCCCAATGATAATCACAGAACCTACCTGTGTACACTTCCAGATGGTAATCCCAGCACACCGTTCTCTGTAATCCCTGTGTATTGCACCTGTAAACTCTGCACTCTGTACTTACTTCTGTAATTCTCTACTAAAACCTCCTCTTTACAGTGTGTGTAGTGTAGGGTATGCATAGGAAGAGTGGACACAGCAGTGTTGTGAGCTGAAGACTAATACACACATGCTAGGGACCACATCTACAGGACACATACAAACACAAGTCACCTTATGTATGTCTGAAACAGTCTAGTCTTCACATTGTAACTGATGATTTATGTCAAACTGTGACATTGTCTCCATGTAATCAGTAGCAGATTGAATCACCATGAGATTGACATCACTGAGAATACAGCATACAAAAAAGTGTTTTGAATAAGTTAAGTCAAACATGTCGAGACTGCAAGTTTTGGCAAAGTCCAGACCCTCTTCAAGCATAGAGAGTGTGAAGGTATATCAACTTATGTACTGATTCCTTGAAGAATGTGTGACTGACTGATGTTCATACACTTTGCATGGCGCCCTTTTCAGTCTACTGACAAGGCCTCATCTCTTGCACCATCCTCCTTCAGACAGTGTCCTGTTGTGTTGCATGGAGCTGTATTCTGTCATATAGATGCCGTATCTCACCTGGGTAGATGGTCATGTTCCCAGCCGTCATACATACATTCCCTTCTGTGTTGCATGGAGCTGTATTCTGTCATATAGATGCTGTATCTCACCTGGGTAGATGGTCATGTTCCCAGACCTCATACATACATTCCCTTCTGTGTTGCATGGAGCTGTATTCTGTCATATAGATGCCGTATCTCACCTGGGTAGATGGTCATGTTCCCAGCCCTCATACATTCATTCCCTTCTGTGTTGCATGGAGCTGTATTCTGTCATATAGATGCCGTATCTCACCTGGGTAGATGGTCATGTTCCCAGCCGTCATACATACATTCCCTTCTGTGTTGCATGGAGCTGTATTCTGTCATATAGATGCCGTATCTCACCTGGGTCGATGGCCTTGTTCCCAGCCCTCATACATACATTCCCTTCTGTGTTGCATGGAGCTGTATTCTGTCATATAGATGCCGTATCTCACCTGGGTAGATGGTCATGTTCCCAGCCCTCATACATACATTCCCTTCTGTGTTGCATGGAGCTGTATTCTGTCATATAGATGCCGTATCTCACCTGGGTAGATGGTCATGTTCCCAGCCGTCATACATACATTCCCTTCTGTGTTGCATGGAGCTGTATTCTGTCATATAGATGCCGTATCTCACCTGGGTCGATGGCCTTGTTCCCAGCCGTCATACATACATTCCCTTCTGTGTTGCATGGAGCTGTATTCTGTCATATAGATGCCGTATCTCACCTGGGTAGATGGTCATGTTCCCAGCCCTCATACATACATTCCCTTCTGTGTTGCATGGAGCTGTATTCTGTCATACAGATGCCGTATCTCACCTGGGTAGATGGTCATGTTCCCAGCCCTCATACATACATTCCCTTCTGTGTTGCATGGAGCTGTATTCTGTCCTATAGATGCTGTATCTCACCTGGGTAGATGGCCTTGTTCCCAGCCCTCATACATACATTCCCTTCTGTGTTGCATGGAGCTGTATTCTGTCATATAGATGCCGTATCTCACCTGGGTAGATGGTCATGTTCCCAGCCCTCATACATACATTCCCTTCTGTGTTGCATGGAGCTGTATTCTGTCCTATAGATGCCGTATCTCACCTGGGTAGATGGTCATGTTCCCAGACCTCATACATACATTCCCTTCTGTGTTGCATGGAGCTGTATTCTGTCCTACAGATGCTGTATCTCACCTGGGTCGATGGCCTTGTTCCCAGACCTCATACATACATTCCCTTCTGTGTTGCATGGAGCTGTATTCTGTCCTACAGATGCTGTATCTCACCTGGGTCGATGGCCTTGTTCCCAGACCTCATACATACATTCCCTTCTGTGTTGCATGGAGCTGTATTCTGTCCTACAGATGCTGTATCTCACCTGGGTCGATGGCCTTGTTCCCAGACCTCATACATACATTCCCTTCTGTGTTGCATGGAGCTGTATTCTGTCCTACAGATGCTGTATCTCACCTGGGTAGATGGCCTTGTTCCCAGACCTCATACATACATTCCCTTCTGTGTTGCATGGAGCTGTATTCTGTCCTATAGATGCTGTATCTCACCTGGGTAGATGGTCATGTTCCCAGACCTCATACATACATTCCCTTCTGTGTTGCATGGAGCTGTATTCTGTCATATAGATGCCGTATCTCACCTGGGTAGATGGTCATGTTCCCAGCCGTCATACATACATTCCCTTCTGTGTTGCATGGAGCTGTATTCTGTCCTATAGATGCTGTATCTCACCTGGGTCGATGGCCTTGTTCCCAGACCTCATACATACATTCCCTTCTGTGTTGCATGGAGCTGTATTCTGTCATATAGATGCTGTATCTCACCTGGGTCGATGGCCTTGTTCCCAGACCTCATACATACATTCCCTTCTGTGTTGCATGGAGCTGTATTCTGTCCTACAGATGCTGTATCTCACCTGGGTAGATGGTCATGTTCCCAGCCGTCATACATACATTCCCTTCTGTGTTGCATGGAGCTGTATTCTGTCCTATAGATGCTGTATCTCACCTGGGTCGATGGCCTTGTTCCCAGACCTCATACATACATTCCCTTCTGTGTTGCATGGAGCTGTATTCTGTCCTATAGATGCTGTATCTCACCTGGGTCGATGGCCTTGTTCCCAGACCTCATACATACATTCCCTTCTGTGCTGCATGGAGCTGTTTCAATCATTCCATTTCTTTCTGACCTGGTCTAGACACCATACGTTGATCACTCCCCTTCTACCTCAACTTGGTCTAACCACACCTTCCATAGGGGGGAACAGGTGGCCCAATCGCTGTGCAGAGTTGTGTCCCTTGGGCACGCCAGAAACCTATGATTGTGGGTTCGAATTTCGGTTTACCTCGATTATGTTTCTAGGTTTGTCAGCACCATACCCATGCTTGCGGGTTTCACCAAAGTGGTAATAGTCTGAGTCCTGCATCACTCCAGACTTTCCCCCAACATCAAGCTGGCACGCCGTGATATAACTGGAATACTGTTAAAAGCAGCGTAAAACCCAACTCACTCACTCACTCCACCTGCCGTACCAGGAGACCTGCCCATTGTTTTGCATTGTTATTTTTGGGTGTGGTAGGTAATGAGGAGCATGATGGGGTGGTCTTTTGTCATAAAGAGTAAGATCTAGGACTTTTAGTCTGTAGGAGTGGGGATTCCAGGTTAGAATTGGTACCCAGCAACCTATGCTAGTCGGAAAGTGGTGACTGAATGGATCAGGTGGTAGGGTTTGGTGACTTGGTTGTTTTTGTGTCATTGTACCTCAATGGCATGGATCGTTGCTCACTGGATTGTCTTGTCCAGACTCAATTATTTACATATCACCATCACATAGCTTGAATATTGCAGAGTGTGGCCTTAACAAACAATCAAACAGAAGTCAGTAATAAGGATTAACAGTACTTTTAAAAATTAGTTCTTTTCTTCATTTGATTTTCTCGTCGAATATCCATTTTGTCTGTCGTTTGGAGTTTAACGACCGCTTCAGATGAGAACTATTTTGCAGTCGGTGTGTATTTTGCCAAACAGCTTGCACCAACCACCTACTTTTGTAACAATGCAGAGTAAAATGTGTAGTGGGATGCTCAGCAGTATTTCATCATCATTTTTCCTGTTACTTTTACGATAAAACGTAGACCAAATTTATGTGTAGGATAGTGTTTAGGGGTTGGGTGGGAGGATTTGGTTAAGGGTTGGGGGCAGTCTAAGGGGTGGATGTGATAATAGAAAATGGCTGAATAATTCTTGCACTTTCTCATTACTTCATATTAATCTTTTCTTTGCACATCTGTAGACAGTCTAAACATATTTGTACAT